ATAGTCTACTAGATAAGAGATGCATATTTAGCTCAGCAAAAATCAAAAATAATCTAACATATAACATTATCTGAAGTATAGTCAAACTTGGCTTTTAATTTTAAAAAACTTGTGCAAATACAAATAATATAAAAGTAAAACGTATTGAATTAGCTAAACTACTATTAAACAAGGATCTGAGAGACTTCACAGATAGCAGAAATCTAAATATCTTCATAATAGATTAGATACTAGAAGAAGAAAGAAACAAGTTACTCTTTTAGAATCAAATAAAATTAATAAGAAGATGTAAAGAGAAAGATTACAAACCAAACTAGTTCAACTTAATTGTAAGAAAAGTACTCACAGATCATAGCTTAAGAGAAGTAGCAAAAAATTTCAAAACTCAAAGTATAAACTGAGAAATACTCAAGTTAATCAGACAGAAAATAAGCAAAGATAAAAGAAAGAAGAAATAGATAATTCTGAAAGAAAAGAATATACTAATAGTCAAAAAAATAGCTAGAAAAACTAAAAAAAAATTTACATTAGTGTACTAGAAATATGTAGACTTAGAAGACATATTTTAAGCAGGTATAGTAAAATATAAAGAATGCAGTCTTAGTAAAAAAAATGATACTGATTGTTTGATTAGTAAACTAGTGAGTAAGTAGTACCAAGTTATTAGCAAGATAGCAAAAGATGAAGCAAGTATATTCACTTTAAAACTATTGCTTTTAGCTTATATAGATAAAGTTAAGCTATATTCAAGAGAAGAACTAACAACTCAGAACAGCATTCAGATAAAGATATCAGGTATAGAAAAAGCAATAATACAAAGAGTAATCAAGGATAAGAATATGTAAGAAGACCTAAGAGGAATAATAGAAAAGCTAAAAGGAAAAAAAGTATTAGATATATATACTGATGAGTAACTAGCAAGTGAAATAATAGAAAATACAAGAGAAAAGAAAATGAGAATAGGTTAAGTAATAGATAATAGAAATCACAATAGTTTAGATAATATATGCTTTAATAGTAAAATAGTTAACTAGCTCTCTTCAACTCAAGCTAAACTCAGAGCAATCTGAACAGCAATTTTGGTAATACTATGTGATATTTAAGTTAAGATCTTCTTAGACAGTAAAGTAGTACTTGAAGAAATATTAAATAATAAATCTACAAACAGTATATGAAATTTATTTAAAACTAAAAACAAGAGCTTAATTAAACAAATAAAAGAATGCTACAAAGCAAAAAATATTGATTTAGAGCTTATTAAAATCAAAAGTCATAATAGTAACCTCTAGAATGACAAGGCAGATAAGCTTGTAAAGCTAGATCTTAACTTATATAAGATAGTTAAGCCAAAAGATATTGATACTGATAAAATTAAAGTTCTATCTAAATAGGAAAACAATCTAATCGATTGCTCAATAAAAATATTTGTAAATATTACAATAGCAATAACTTATGAAACAGAATGAACAAAATTAAATAACACAAGTGAGATAATAAATATGAGACTAAAAACTAACTATAATGAGACTATAAACCGAACAAATATATGAGATACTTTAAAGAAATATCAAAGCAAGAAATATACAAGTCTTAAAAAAAGCAAGATATTAATATTTAGGATAAAATATATGAATAAATTATTACTAATATGTGATATATGCTACCAAAGAAGATCTAAGTTATATAAAGGTAAAATATATGTAGTATACTATAAAAGAAAACTTTAGCTATTTAGCTACTTGTAAGATCTATTAAGAGATATGAAAATATACAGAAGAAATAATAATAGAAAAACTAGAGTTTAAAATACTAAAAGAATAAGATCTATCAGTATTAAGTCCTAGTCTTGCAAGTATATTCTTAGATATGAACTTAGAAGAGAAGCTTAAATGAAAAAAAATTACATCTTCGAGATCTGATAAGCAAAAAACAAATTAACAATATTAAAATATTATTAAGCTTCAAATCCAAAATTAACTGAATGATATATTAGTTTATTGATATTTTTTAGATGAACTTTTATGAAAAGTTATAAAAATTCTGCTATGAAGTCATAACAAGTTAGAAGAAAGAAAATAAGATTAATATGTGGAAGAAAAAAAAGAAAAAGAAAAAGAAAAAATAGTTTAAATTTAGTCTAGCAAACAAAGAAAATAATTCTTCTAAGAATTCTAAAAGAAAGAATCTTTGGTTAGAAAAAGAGAAAAGATTCTAAAAGATTCAAGCAACCAAATTTCAAGATGAATTGAAAATACAAATTATGAGAATTAGTTAAAATTCAAAATCAAATAAGCTTTCTTGATATAAGCTAGTAGTAGTCTTCTTTTAATAAGGACTAAACAGATATATCTAAACATATGTTTAGTTTCAGAAAGAAAAATGCTGTTATAGCAGATCATACTTGAACATCATTTAGATAGCTGAATAAGGCTAGAATTGCAATAAGAAAAACAGTTTTAAAAATAAAATAGTTTCAATTTTTTTTTTTATATATCTGTTTAAATATTTTTCTTTAATATATTTCCTAATAAAATGAAAGACAAGATCATCTAAGTAAAAAAAAAAAAAAAAAAAATTAAACATATATTATATTCTTTTATTAAAATAGTATCACTTCATAAAAATAACAAATAAAATATATTAGACTAGTAATCTAAAATTAGCATATAGAAATAGTTTAAATATTATATATACCCAATTTTTATTCTATATTTTATTTATTTATTTTTTTTATTTAACTAGTAGAATTTTTCATTTGGTTAGAAAGTTTTTTTAATTAGTTTTGAAAGTATTATAACACATGATTTTTGTACTTTTCATTATATATTTACGGTTTTTTATCTTTTTTTTTTAACATTCTTTTAATAAAATCATCATTCTGGTTTTTTTTTAAATTAATATAATAACTAGTATCGGAATTAAGCACACTTAAATAGGTTTTACATATTTGTAAATGCTAGTATACTTAAAACACTTCCTTATCTAATAAAGTTATAACATGATATTATCAAAGGAAAAAAATATATATTCTGCTTAGTCGCTAAATAATTCATAGATTCTTGATTTTATTAATTTAAAGCATTGATTTAACAAATTTGATTGGTTTTTGAGTTTTGACACTATTAGCCGAAAATGGGAATAAAATAGAAATCCCGATTCCCAAACCCAAACTATTATGTTAATAATAATGTCATGATCCAACAAAAAAGATTTGGGTCGCAACCCTAATCTTCGCCTTTATACTTGACTTGCTTTACTGTGACTTTGATTCCCCTCTTAACTATAGGCGTTAAACTAGAATCCGCGCTCAATACGTTTCCTAGAGAATCTGTAGGGGAATTCTATATAAATAATTTTTTTTTTAAAAAAAAAAAAAAAAGTTATAAGAACTTTAAGAAAAATCTTTTAAATATTGAATATAGAGATGCAAACTCATAATCATGATCGTTGAAAGTAAATATTTGTATTACGACAATTATGCCTTATAAGTCTGTACCTATACATGAATATACATACTGTGGGTTTTAAACAAGGCTTAATTACGCGTTTCTCCTTTGTTGATATTGGAGAATGCTTGACGTGCGGCGAAGAAACTTGAACTAAATTCATATCATCCCATCGGACACATTTTTCCACGGAATTTTCATCTTTTTTCTCCAAATTTATGTTGGCTATTTCTTTTCCACTACGT